AAAATTTGGAAATGTGTCTTTTCTGACAACATATTATGTAATATCGGATATACTATATTTTCGTCCCGTTTCCTGACACAGTTCTTTATTATGGTCGTTTCCGCCTTTAAAACCTCTTTATCAATTCCGACTTCTGTTGGGCAGTGACGCCGACTTGGATTCGATTGAAATAAGTTTCAAGTATGAAGTTATTAAATTATACAATTTTTTTGTCAAAAAAGTATGTTTTTTATTTTCTGTTCTGATGTGTATGTGTAATAATGTTTTTGGGGGGGGCTAATTCGGATTTTGGGTGGGCTTAGCCCCCCCAAGCCCCCCCCCTCATGCTTCGCCCATGACCCATGGAACAAATTTACTTAAAAGCTTAACTCGTAAACTATAATTTCTAAAGCCAGCCTTAATTGATAGCTATAAATAGCTTTAATGTTATGTAGCATATAGGTACCACTCATAAAGTCGTAAAAATTCTTGCGACAATGGTTTTGCTTCAAGAGCTATAAAATATCACCAACTTCTTTTCTACATGTAGCCATAAAATATTTTTTCATCTGAGGCACTTGTAGAAATGTTTATTGTACCGTTTCACGATATTGTTATTATGCTCTGACACACTAAGAGCATAAAACTTATAAATTCGACTTCCGTAATTTGAGACAAACCGTAGCTAATGCAAACAGATTTTTTTGTAATGGTGTTAACACTGCTGAATAATGAGGATACCTTTATAAATAATGCAGTTAATACAAGCATTAAATTATACCCAGAGTATATAGTAGGAACCACCATACATATACTGGTTCCAAACTTATTAGTTCTCATCAAAATGTCATAGGTGAGCCTCATGAAACTGGTAAATGTGGTTGTTTCTCGCAATATCATTAAATTGTACTCTCTGCCCATTTGGCAATATTGAAGAGCTATAAAGCATTGATCAGCAGCGACTATTCATAGATGTAGCATTTTGTTATAAATTTTATCTCACCCAGGAAGCAAATATAATTATTTTTCATTTTACAAAAGGTCATTCTTGATTGAAATGTTTCATTGCTTTTAAAATAAGTGTGCTATTGATGTTGCATGTACAAGATGTTCAGAAAATTTAAAAATCTGAAAATGTAAGAATAAACTGCTAATAAACTTTTCAATTATATGAAATGCTGCCATGAGGAAAAGTGGTTTCGTACTGCTATATGGGAATTTAATTTTGTGGTACTTCAATTATTCTAAAATAGGAAAAAATAGTACTGAAAACACTGATTAATATAAAGAAGCGTCCAAAATATTTAATTGGTGCATTTAAAAAGGAAGGTAACATATTTATGAACTATTTGTCGGTCTCACTCCAGATTTTTGTTTATTGATTGAAGGAATGGATAAAATTTTCTTTATTCAAATAGTGAATTTTGACAAGATTTTCACAAGAGGTAAAAAATTTAATGTCATAACAGAACAGACAAATATAAAATATTTCCCGACTTTTATTTCATTTATGAAAATTTAGATATTGATATTCTGATATAAGTTTAATTCTAAATAACTTGACAGCATTTTTCCTTCCTATGACAATAAGGTGAGTTTGCTCTTTATATCATTTTTGGATATTTTTTTAAAATTTCTTACTCACCTGGCTCTTGCATACTTAAAATTATTTTTGATCGTTGAGTGGAGCGCTTCTTTCATAGTGAGGCCTTTGTCGTATTTCCAGTTTTCGAGCGACTCCAAAATTTCACCAAACTTTCGAATCGGGCTAGAAACAATGCTAAAATATCCCTTAGTCGCACCCTGTTACAATATAGGTCACTCCAGACCAAACCCAGGAACTTTCTACACTCCGACAAATATCCTGGCAAGCACAGTCGAATTTCGCCGGACTTTCCATTCCGACCTCCGACGTTCTAGATGGGCTCGATCGAATCACTGCCATCCAATTCGACCGAATCAGCCAGTCAAATAATCGAGGATCTTTCCGATTAGCCGTCCCGAAGACGCTCCAGAGGCGGCCTGCTGCCCGGAGCTGTCCGTCAACACGCCATCGCGGCGACCATTAACGCTCAAAAGTCATTTTCAGACCCTGCAGCAGCACACCCCCCGAGCCACCACTGAGCGCGTCCCAGAGCCGACAGCGAAATTTCCAGGATCCTTTCTGTGTGAGATGCCAGTTCCGCCGCCAAAAGATGGGGAGATTCGTCACCGAAACGATATGCGATCCAACGTCGACTCTAGGTGTTTGCAGTCTAATAGGTGAGCCTGGAAATCCACTCAGCGTGTACGCGACATTTTTTATTTTAACTCCATTAGCTGCGAAGCTTCTTCCACGTACTGTAACATGCTGTAACCCTCATGCACATGAATTACATGCAATATATACATTTTAAACACATCACTTTTGTTGTTTTCTTGTTCGAGTTATATTAACTTACCTCGCAAAAAGAGTCAACGAGCCTAGCTCGGTTAGTATTAAGAAACTTTGGCGCGACGTCGAGACTACACAATTCTTCCGTCCCCAATAGTCGTCATAGTATCACGCGCACTTACTCAAAAGGCCGTGTCAATCGTCCACCAGTACTCACCAGGAGCCAGTGCGACGCCGCTATCCTTTGGGTTAAGGTTCAGCGATAAACTCAAGTGCTAAAACTATAGAGTCCTCGTACTCGCAGTGCTTTACATAGAGTCCTCGTACTCGCATTAAATTCAGTGCTAAAACTATCACGTGTCACGTGCTATCAACAGACTTCCCAGTCAGTGTTATACAGGGTCAGTCGAAACCCTATAACTTTTGAACTCTTTTACCTACATAATCGTAGAGAACTTTGAACTCATAATGTCTTGGATGGATAAGTATTTAGATCGCACATCGTCTTCCACCAGTCCTTCCTTAGAGTCATCCGACCACGAGGTAGAGCGACGGCTGCCGTACGTTTGTTTGTCCACCGATTCTGCGGAGAAGGTCGGGGAAGCAACTGCGGGGTTGTCAAGACAAGTCGATATCCGAGAGGAGGCGAATCACTTTTACTCGCTATAAAGACAGGCACAATTTTGCAAAATTTCACATGTTATCTTAGTGGCACACATCAGCAAAAAGCTTTGTCTAAAATATACCTGTTGATGTATAAGCGACTTCTGATCATTAACAAGAGATAGAAATCAACAACAAAACTGTTGCATCAGTAATTTCAACTGTGATGTACCTATTGTAGTACACATGACTTACCATTGAACAAAAAAAATCATGAAGGTGTTTTTGAATACGTAATTAAACTCAAAATTGACACTGGTATCAAAATTTTGAAAGAGCATATAGAAAGGGCGCGAAAAATGCAGCCTACATGTCACCATAAGCCGATGTGGATACGTCATTAGAGACACTACTGATGTAACGAATGCATTTGCTTATAGTATCTTGGCAGATGAGAGCAACTTTCCATCAATGCAGTGATATTTTTTAACGAAGAAAAGATGATGGTTTGTGAAGAATTTCTAGGTGTTTTAAGATTTGTAAAGTTGGCTACTACACTGCAAAAAAATTTCACTCAAATTTCATCCAATTTCACTCAATATTCTATCAGTTTCTGTCCACGCCCCGATTGAGTGAAATTTTCACTCTATTAATATGAGTACACCTGAGTGAATCTATTGCATCAGAAATGAGTGAGTTTTACTCAAATCCGAATTACTGCTAAGTATCAATTGAGTCAAAACTGTCAAAAGACGGCAGTGATGCAATGAGAAAAGCTGATTTTCAAATGAGCACGGAATTCATTGTTAGTGTATGTCTTACAGCAAAATATTTAGCACTTCTGCAACCGGTCGTAAATGCCCTACAGTCAAAAAATATGCATTTACTTCAATATTGAAACCATAGGAAATGAATCAGAGATATTATGAAAAAACATTGTGGACATGCCGATGTTGAAAACCAAACTGTTGTGGCAGAAGATGAAACACTTGCCGAAGATCTTGACAGAGATTTCAATATACCAAGCGTTACGACTCGCCAAAAACATCTGGCAAATCCACCAGCACAGACTTACGGTGAATTATACAGAAGATCACTAATTATTCTGTACATTGATTCATTAATAATACCTTTGGAGTAGCATTTGTCTGAGGAGAACTTGCCTGCATGCTCATTGGTAAAGTTGCACCTTTACATAATGATACGACATACAAAGATTTAAGAAGAATTAATGTTTTTGTAGCTACTGCAATTTAAAGAACTTCTCTGGTGAAGCAGAACTTTGGTACAACCTATGGAAAGGAAAAAATGTGCCAAAGGCTTATAGAAAGGAAATAGATAGAACTAGCAATTATTTTACCTAACTATAAAACCTGTACAACGTGTACTATCGAAAGATCCTTCAGCACCTTACGTAGAGTAAAAACTTGGTTACTTACGGTCGATAATGACAGAAAATTCACGAACAGTCATGATTTCATGTCTCTGTAGAAGAAAATTATCTTCCGCCATAAATAATTTTTTTCTGAAATTGATACTTCTCAGACCTCTACTAATTTCAATTCCAATCGTGAGATTTTCAAATTCTGTGAAGGTAACTACTAAGAGAGAACTGCTCCATAACAATTTTGAGGTCTAATCTCTACATATTCAGTAATTCTTAGATAATAAATTAAGAACTACGTTCCAGGTTCGAACTTTGAGGGATCGCAGACCATTTATGAAGCATTTTAAGAAAGTATTAAGTACCATTGTTTTTTTATTCCTTAAAGTTTATCCCCCTTTACCTCCAAAACAAAGGACGAAAATCTGTGCAATGCCTAATTCAAAACCTTTGTTAAGTAAATATTTGTATTTAAAATATTCTGCCTATATCCAAATTAACAGTATACCGTAATGACAGCGCGTATCGTACTATTCCGCATAGATAAAAACAAGTACTATTGCGTAGAATCATGAATTAGCGCGATTTCAATTGAATTGAATCCACCACCTCCAGCAAAACTACAGCTACAAATATTTGGTATTTTAGTCGACTCACGACAGCGCCAGTGTAAGGACATTATCAATCGAGCGGCTCTGCGCTACCTCCGTGAACGTCGGCGGGAACATAAAAGTGTTGTTCAAGTTTAAGTTGCTGCAAACATAAAAGTTATTAGCATTTTATGGACATTTGTTACAGCCGCATTTACACCTCACCTCAAGGAGATTTCAACAAGCAAGGTTAGTTGATAATGCTAAATAATAAAACGTTTTAATACATTTATATTTAATTTTGTTGCTTAACGTGTGGGTTAACTATTAGCAAAAAAGTCTTAATAACATATTTTTATTTTGGTAATTGCTGATTTATTAATTCCAAACATTCCATTGACGCTAAATATAGATTTATATAACGTTACATAATTATGTTGTTAATTATTACTCCATTTAAAATTAGCAAACTAGTAAAAGTATTTCAAAATGCCGTGTATAGAACATATATGTGCTTTACATTTTACATAGATTTTCAAGTATTTTCTTCTAAATCATAGTCTATTAATTGCGAGATGAAACAAGAGCCATAAAGTAATTGTGCGTTATCCGTCTATATAAATGTTTATCATTGAACAAATTGGCAGAAATATAACTCGAATTTGATAAAAAAGAAATTGCAAGTAAGTGCTATGATATGTCCAAATATTAAACAACTTTCAATATTATGCATAATCTTATGATTACTGATAATAATCACTAATTGCTTATAAACGTTTCACAAGTGTTGTGACAAAGATTATTATCATTTAAATCGCACTTCATGAAAAAATGTTTAACTAGTTTAAATACAAAAATTGTCGTAATGAAGTATTCCTTCTTAGTTTCAATGTCAAAATAAGTTATTTATAATTTTAAAGAAACAGAATAATGTATTCGCATTCCACCTCGTTGACTTTGTTTCTGTACCTACATATTTGACTATTTAAACTTATAAGAGAAAAAATATTTTACAGTTGGATGAAAAACTCTATTTTAAACGTTTACATTTATTTTAATTGCCTACTTTTTATGTCATCCCAAGCTTAAATAAAACTTGTTAAATTAATCTCTCGACTTAATCTCTATTCGATTATACTCCAATGACTAATACAATTTTTTTTTAATGAAATCCTCCTGCAAAACTTGATAAACTATACTATTCTTTCCGAAAACGGTTATCTAACAATTTAAGGACCTGTATCATCTATTCTTACATTCGATTTTTGTGGTACATCATCTACATTTCAAGATAAATATAAGTCAGATAGCAACAGATATGTTTCACATTTCAAGATACGTAGGTATGTGTGAGATAGCAGTAGTAGATCTAAGTTTTATACTGACAACAGTAAATTAATAATTACAACTAAGTTTGTTCAGTTGTAGCACAAAATACTAGCTCAAAAACATTATAATAATTCCAAATCTGATTTAGGTCGTCTATTATCTTCTAAATCTAAAAAACATTGCCTTTTAACATATTTTAACGGCCGAAAAATCCATTTGGGCAATTTAACGCACGTGTTGCTGAAATGTTCGCGTTCGTTGATAAATATCTGATATATTTGCCGCCTTGAATCAATATATTCGGACAACTTAAGGCATGTATGGATGAAAAGAACATCTTCCTTGACAAATGTTCGATATATTGGGTGGAAACGAATGTTTATGAATTAATTTTCTCCATAGTTACTCAAGAAATCTCATACAAGAAGCCGGAGTTTAATTTTGTCCCATAACATTCTCAGACGAGTCTGAAAAACACATACGGATCGCTGCTTTTTTACTTGTACCTCTTATTGGCAATCACATACACAAAGGCCTTGGTACTTACTCAGAAAATTAAACGCGTACGGCACTAACAAATACATATACATTGACATTTACGTACCCTTTCAATATTTATTTAACAACATTTCTTACAGTCATTTCACGCAAACATGTCTAAGGTGAATCGTAAAATCGAAGAGCTAAGTAAGATGCATGCTGATTAATTACGACGATATTGCCTTGGCGACGTTAATTATTTTTTTAATAAAATTTATTCCCGCTGCATTATCATACCATTTATTTTGCAATTTCGTATTTAAATTAAGAGGTCTCCCAATCGATAACCATTTTATTAGCTTATCTCCAGCATGCCCAATTTCCTGTTGTTAACTCAGCTGACAAACTCCATGTCTATCCTTTTCTGTCATTTTATTCGGAATGTTGATCCAACTAATTTCGTTATTGATTTTTGGTTTCCCACATCCAATTAATTTATCATTGTCCACGAAAATAAGCTATTCCATCAATCATCTTTCATTTGTACTTTATTGGAGACACTTATTTGTGAAAAATAAAAATAAAATGGTAGAAAGTAATTAATATTTAACACCCAATATAACGGCCAATAAAATTATTGTCGAGAACGGCAGTGTGGTTTTATACCCTGTTGCCAAGAGGTCGATAACATTTTAAGTACAAAGAAGAATACGTATTTCTACATTTGGCAATATTTGGTCATTTTTCTCTGGATATTATTTAGAGCTGTTTCAATGTAATTCACTGCAGAAGCTATTGGAATATATTTTAGCGAACAGCTGTTTGTGTAACACGTTTTTGAAATCTGAGATGACAGATATTTAATAAGTAACATAACCACGTTTATGTACAAAGAGCTGACTGTTTTAGAAATGTTACATATACTGAAAAATGGGTTGTATTATCAATTCTATTAATATATGCTATCAAAATAAGTTATAACCTCAAAGGATATCTACTTCAATATACTTTTTGTAACCGCTACGCTGGTTATATTTGTGGTCTAGTATGCTGAAATATCAACTCAAACTTTTCATTAGCTTTTCTAGTTTTCAGAGCTAAAAATTTTAAACTGGTTTAATCTGTGGTAAAAGGCAAATAGTTATAATAAATCTACTTACTCCAAATTTGATATGAAAATGATCACTCCGATAACTTTTTTATTTTTGACTAAGAAAAATGATTGCTATAAAAGTTCTGTAGTCCATTGAAGGCATCAAAAATTCATTGCTTACCGGATTGAAGTCTTATTCATAAACATATCAGTTCATCAAACATAATCAGTATATATCAAAGGTAAAGTTGTTTGGTACTTTGGTCACGATTTTTTTTAACTGAAAACGACCAAAAATAATAAATATCACGTAGGAGGAAAGTTTCATTTTCCATTTTCGTGGAAATAATCTTAATGGCTCGATCTACATTTTTGTAGCACCCTACATATGCCAAATATATATTAATATAAGTATAAGCTTATCAATTTTGTCCAGTCTAACTCAGGAATGATGCTTAAATACATATAATAAATTGACAATTCTATAAATATTATGGGTTAATTCTATTTTTCCACTTCCAGTTAAAGATGACCTTAAAACTCTACGAATGAGATATGCTTCTATCTATTTGTACTTTACCTGAATCATTTAGATTTAGATTATTATTAATTTACTTATCTCATGTAACTTTTCTTGGAAATTGAAGCAGAATTTATTCGAGGAACTGCAATGCAAAGTGTAAATAGAAAATTGATCTAGTTTGAGGAAACAATGTAATAATGATTATAATTGAGAATTTTTAGTTTTTAGTATTGTTAGGATTAGATATTTCAAATTATTTGTTTAGAAACATTTACTAGATGAAATTTTAGTCAGTGCATGGGCATTATTTTTGTTTTTAATCTTTACACGAGTAAACAAAATTAATAAGAACTATAAGAAGTATGCAAAGCTATAAAAAAGTAATGGGCCAATGAAGAAGTAAGTTATGTTTCCCAATAGAATTTTATGATGCTAATTGTCCTTGCAATAAATACAATAAAATTAATTTTAATGGGTTACTATTTGTTTTAAAACACATCTTTAGTGTGAAAAATTTTATCTCTATGGCATAGTATCAAGTTAACGAGGTCGTTAACCTTTGATACCCGCAAATACCAAATAGATATTCGCAGTACACATGGTACAGTAAAGATATTGTATAGTTAAGTTTCTGCTATACAAATCAGCATAGTGAAATAGGTCGTCAAGATGAAATAAATAACTCTGTAACAAGTTTCGCTTTTCGCTTCTGTGAAGTGCGATACGAATATATAAGTGTAACATCGACATTGCAGAAAAATTGAGGAACTGATTTTTTTCTCAAAACAAATAAAGAAAATTAAATTTTTTCTAAAATGATTCAAGGTTCTATGATCCATTAAATGTAAATTACTAGAACTAATGGTTAGTAGCCATTACAGGGAAACGGAAAAAACAAATACTAAACTGCAAGGAATAGGAGACCTTTAGAGCATGATAAATATTTGACATAAACTTTCATCTTGGCAAATTCGTACTACCTAAGGGTAGTGAATGCAAAGAAATTATTAGCGGAATTTACTCAATTTTCCTCCTCTTCAAGTGACGTAAAGTAATATGATTTGACAGTGATTTGATCAAGTCTGTTACTCATTTTATTGGCGCTGCCATAGAAGACAAGATACTCCCCATATTTATATTTATATATGACATTCTTGCCTCTATAAAGCCGTTCTACTAATTTCAATATTTCTTCCCCAAAAATCAAAATCATCTGTTTTTTTGTTGATTATTAATTTTCTTAATAAATATAGCAAATTCACACAAAAGGAATTAAAACATGTTGGTAATGATTGAAAGTATCATCTGATCCGTAACACCTTATGGCATTATATCTTTTAAAAGAGGAGGCATTTGGAAAAACTTTTTTGATGGAAGTTGTTGAGAAAAAGAAGACTTTTATATGATGTAAACAATTTTAGTAAAATTGGAAAAAATAAATAAATTCCAGGTCTTTGGGCGGTAAACAAAGCAAGATAGAATTTTAAGTCAACGATTATACCTACCCATCATGCCATAAACATCCTCCTTGCGGTTTCCTATTTGCTTTGCGTTTTCCTATTATGGCGGTCAGCCATCTAAAGTGTTTATATCGTCAAGTAAAAAGTTATTTGATATTGAGAGACATCAGTAGCCTATCCAAATCTGTAAAAAAATGTATTCAATGTCAGGCACTTATGACAGTTGAAATAGCATATATATTTCCTAATTCCAACAGCACTGGATAGATTTTGGTCAAATTTTATACATATATCGGTAACTGTTATGGGGGAATTACAGGGTACAGGGTAATTCTCATAATTCCACAATTCACATCCTACTCAC